AATGAGGACTTAAATACTTTGTTACATGCTATTTTCTAGGAAATTGAATTGTTGAGGTAATTATTTCCGTAATATACGCACTCAGGGCAGTTTCTGGCTCAGGTTTATACAATCGTGTTCGCGCCTCGTTTCGTTAAACGTTCTACAAAACATTCTTGCAAGTTCGAATAATGTAAACAATGAGTTCGCCGCGTTACTCGAGTGCTTTGACTCGTAAACGAAAAACCGCTGTGGCGCGGGTGCAGGCGTTAGAATGAACTGCCATACGTACGCCAGTCAATGGCGAGCATACCGATCACACATTGCAATTTCGGCCCACCCGTCTGCGTGATTGTGTAAATCCGGTAAAATAAATATAACGACGTACCGCAGATTCCCGGAACGCAGACTAATATTAAAAATAAATGACCCGATACGAGGCACGCGCATCATCACAGTCTCTATCTGTCGATCCATCACATCGCGTCACCGGGTTACTTTGAGAAGTAGCTGTTTTTAAATTAACCAATATCCGTTCGTGAACGCCGTGTCCGTTCTTTAAGACATTAGTTTATATTTGTGTAGTTTATTAAATAGGCGCTCCCAAAACGTTACATCTCTATTTTCCATGCACTTCACGCTGTAAACGAGTGGCATATGCGTCTACATTACCATACTGCGTGAGCGCGTGTTAACGTAAGCCCAAGTGCACATTTACATACGTGACTTACAGGAACCTTCGATGGCACTTGAAAAGTGAACCCAATCGATGTCTATGGAGAATATTTGTACATTTTTAAAAGTGTAAAAAGACTGTGGTACGCCAGACAGTATATTTTCTAATTCGTGATTTATAGCTTCTACATTGTAATACAGTTTCTGTAACGTCGTTTCTGATTGTCTATAAGTAACTGGCTGCTATTCTACAATAAAGAAAGATGCAGGATGCAGTCGCTACAAATTAACACGGTAGTCTTGCAACATGTGGTTCGCCGACAAGGAATCTATAATACAATTGAATTCTTTGCAACTTTCCCCGAAACTATTGTTCTTTGCTATGAACAAAGTATCGAAACGTCCGGATTGCTAAACAATAGTGGAATCACCATGTTTGTATCAAAGTAAAACAACGGATGACAGTAGAGCACTGTGTCGAGTTCTAGAGAAACATTCTGATTCTAACTGAGAGTTAGTTGAGTGCTAGGAAAGTACTAAGAGCACTACAAGCTCTTCTTTAGATACTTTCAAGCTCTTAGCACAACGTTGCTTCACATGTGACAGCTCCCTCAAATTGTCATGGTTTAACTCGTCGAGTACCGGTTTTGTAGACACAATTATAGAACAATAGGTTGCGGTCACCGGTGACCGCTTGATGTTTGACAGTTTAATGCCTTTGATAAAGAAAACAAATAGCAATCGATTAATAACAATTCGAATTCTGCTGAAACTTACTTAAATCGTTTTAATAACTACGTATTGTTTCTGTCTTGTTTTAATTTCAGTACTTAACTGATTCGATTCACAAATGAGAACAAAAAATTATTATAACTACTAAAAATTATATAATATTTTCAAATAAAAACTGATCTGTTTACCAATCATTCTTTACTACCACTACATTGTTCGGAATGATATTAATTTAATCTAAAATCTCCAACAACATTTCGGATAAAATTAAAAACATTTTACAATGCAATAATATTTTGTTCTATACAACTTACAGGTATACAAGTAATCGAAAAAGATATTGATGTACGCAAGTCAATTTTTATTCGTGTTTGACTAAACGACTACCTTTGTTCGTCATTTTCAATACTAGTTAGTGGCAGTAGGCAATTTTCTGCATAACAAGTTTCAAGGAGCAAGGAGAATCAAAGAGGCCTCGTTCGCTATTATCTTCCACTTATTACCTACTACGTACGACAATATTACCTCTGATGTAACTCTGCAAACATTTGTTTTGTTACGCTCATTGTATTTGGACATTTAGTTTTCGGCTTTAAAATAATAGAGAGTTTTCACAATGCAGTATACAAAAGATTAAAAAATAAAAATATTAACAACATGCGGTTTCATTGTCTGTTAACAAGGTCGGAACTCAAAAACATGTCCACACATAATGTACTTGTTACTTAATAACATAGTCCCTGAAGTTATAGCAACATTTTGACGGAAGTAGGATACCTAGTTACCTTTGTAAGGTAATTGATAATTAAAATATAAATAACAATATTCAATAACAGTGTTACGCAGTGACACACGGTATTGAGTAAATTGTCTGTAATTGGAAATCAGCGCCAACTCGTTTCTGTACTGACTCAAATGACTCAGTTACACTTGAACCGTACATTGTAGTAGTTATCCATATTCAAACCAATGTAAACACAATACTGTAGTACTTAGAGTCCATTTTAGATTGAAAATACATACGTGGAGATATGCTCGTACTCTGAGACGCAAATCTGGCTAATTGACGCCCAATGAAAAACGCGAACCCGCAGTCGGACAGGTCACCAACTAAGTGACGAGACCAAAAGGTCTGATGACTCTTAAGATTGTAAAACAACACTGTTGAATAAAGACTACAGAAAATGTATTTTTAATGCAATGCATTTATTTACTGGTCACTACACCATTATATGAACAACAAACAGAACAGAATATCTCAAATCCTGTGCAAAATCAATTGCAAACACACGTGCCACAGTTGTAAGATACTTGAGCGGAGTTTCGAGATCGCACCCATCTATTGTTTCAATTGACTTATGCCCCATCAGTCGACCGAAAGTCTCCGGGCATTGTGTTGGCCGCCTTCTGTCGTTTCCACCTAGTTCTGCAATGTCCACCATGTCAAATAGATTACGTCTAAATGCTCAGTCTGTCAATGATTTCCGATATGAGACTTTATAAATAACAAGCAGTAGTGTAATTGCGACCCGCATTATGAGAAACAAGTCATGCTCTGTTCTGACCCGCCGTATGGCTCACCCAACTAACAGGTTTCGCACGCAACTGAGCCGACTACCGACTTAATTCGTCGACCACAACATCGTGTCTACAAGAGACATGTATTATTTTTCTGATCGTATGCAACTTGTAATAACGACTACGGAAATAAAAATATTCCTTTATCATGTCCAATTGAAAACTGTAGCTGACATGTTTTCTTGGCGCATATGTATCAATAGGACAAGAAATGCAATATCCGCTGCACATTCAACAAGACTTTTGATAAAGCAGTTGTGCTGGAAAAGACATCTCTTTTGAAACTTGATTTGTGTGGCCATATTGCTTCCAACGGTGAATTTATTTGTCAAGTAACATTTAAACAGGTTTCTGAAGCCTTTACAGTAGTCAAAATTTGGGATTGATCAGCTCGATCTCGTGGTCATCGGAGAAGTTACTGCCGTAAATGGCGAACAGTTACTAAAGTGCACAGACTCGACTGTGACTCATGGTGATTGAGTACGCAACACCGGGACACACATGTGAGCTTTATCGCCTTTCTGTGAATGAAAAAAAAATTAATCGGAATACTTTTTGGCATGACTTGAGGACCGTGACGTGTTTAAAACGCAGCAATGAACGAAATTTTATTATTCAGTGTTTAACATTGAATAGTCTACCAGGGCCTGGTATGCGAACTATATTTAAAATGGATAATCTTAGACATTTAAATAGATGAGCTTTGTCTAACATCTCTTACACCTGCCGTGATTACTGTACATGTAAAATAGTTTTCAATTACAATTTATTTCTATGCCCAAGTAATTAGTTTTATTGTAATTGTATAATAATTTCACGTTAGCAAAATTAAAACTAGACAGATGTCTATTTAGCAACTTACTTGTACAATGAATAAAATAAATATGGCTAAGTAATTATGAGGCAAACGGATAAAGTTCAAGTAGTCGCCACTGACGAGAAATCCGACTGGTGTCGTTTTGTAAGTGTGTGCGGGTGACTGTTTATTTTTATTTAGCTGCGCGTATGTGAGAGCGGACGTGTCATCTATTCGTTTCTTTGTAGTAACATAGTTCTAGTCCGAAGAAGCGACCACTAATTCGGTTAATATTCCAAAATTGAACACCCGCCGAAATGAACGGGAGTGCAATGAAACAAATATACAGCTGTAGTATGTTTTTATTTCGAAGAGCTTGTTTTAATATCTTGCGTTCTGAGTCATATTTGTTATCTATGGCACTGGACACGAATGCCAACGACACGATAAGAGATATTTTCATGTACAAGAAGCCGCCATTAGTCGATAACGTACCGTAGAATGGGGATTGTTTTAAACATCGCACGAATTGATTTGAACAGACGTTGAAAGTGAATGGTATTATTTATTTGGTCAAGGCTAAGCTAATACAGGCAATGGGAGCATTACAGAGGGTGCGTAGGTGTCCTCTCAGTCAAGTCGTTCACTTTCCCCACATCATGCGTAATTTAATCAGCAGCCCGTATCCGTTGAACCCCTCTACTTTAAGGACCACCAGAATCGTTCGCCCCGTTTAAATTTTTACTCCAACAAAAACACAAACAAAATTGCTTTGTGAAGAAATAATAGCTCAATGTTACCCACTGATTTAATAACTACGTAAGTTAAAAACAGTTAGTTTTCTCACCTTATTTGTTAATGTTAGGGTTCATTATGACCTAAACTTTATTTATCGTTATTAGTACAATAATTATAATATGTGTAGAAAAATATCGTTATCAACGAACACAAAGCGTCTGTTATGAACCACTTAGTATTGTCTTACACTCGCAGGTTAATGTTAAACATAAACATGACCTGATTCGAAAACAATATGGTACAAACACACGTTCATACCTTCATTATTCTATTAGTCATTACTCTACGAAATTATATTCTGAAAACAATTTCCAGAATTAGAATGACATAAAACACAGATGTTTTTCTTAGCTTGAAAAATTATGACGATGTTAGTCTGTCATGTGCTCAAAACTGCGGTTAGCCAATGAACAGATTTGAAAACTATGTTTGTGGTTTGCAGAAAATGGATATCTTCGAAGGAGATCTACCAGAAACCACGACGGACCTGATAGTCAGTGGCGCCGGAGTTCTCATGTTCGGAGCAAACTCCTTGTCACGGCTGCGGGATGCGAGACGAATTTATATAACCGGAGCAGAAATCGTATTCCTGAGGGCATACGCCGCGTCTAACCTGGATGTCTTATACCTACACCTGGATGTGGAGAACTGCGATGTCCTGCGATTGGAAGAAAAAGCTTTCATTAACATCAAAGGTAAGTGCATGGAAAACATTAAACGACTGCGAGCGCGAATTTTATTGCTTATAGCGATCGATGATGCTCCGCAAATGAAAAGAATTTATCTTCCTGCATCCGTGTGTTTGCATACTTAGAAAACAGTTCCCCGCAACGTATTCTATGAATTGCGCAGCGATTTGCTTGTAAGCTGTAACAATAAATAAAAAGTATCCTACTATCTCTTAAAGAAAAGATACGATCAGAAACGCACGCTAAGCTTATAGGAAATCTCAATGAATAAATCACGAGGACGTTGGAGAGTTAAAAGAGCATGACAACTAAGAATTAGGACATATAGTGTGGCTCAACTTGTTTGTTTTGAATTTCAATGCGCGTTTTCCCAATAACATTTGAGATAACCGACATAACGTTAGTTTTATTCAACAAGATGAATAATAATAATATTATGTTATGCGATTGTCGCATAACAAAATGATGATAACAATTTAGACTTAACTACTACATTAAACATCATATTTCGTATTTTAATCACCTTCCACTGTCGGATGCGCAACTTAGTTCACGGATGAAAATTCGATGCAATCGTATTACGTGAGAGATATTGGTGTGTTTAACGCGAAAATACTTATGTTAGTAAGGTGTGATGCAGCAATGTAAACGTGATTATGTTGTAGCCGAGATTGTAGCCGGTTTGGGTCGGTGGCCCGATAGTGGCGAGCCGCCGGATGGGTCCGATTATCAGGTCGTCGGCCAATATTCAACTAGATAGACGACGTTCATTATTTTATTGGCTGAAGACTTGAGATGTGTGCCGTAAGTGCATATAACGCTTAATGTTGATTGAAGGCATACATAATATAATAATGACGTAGGAACCTGTCTTTCCACTTATTCATTTTTGGAAACAATGACTACAACTAGTAACTAAGAAAGATTAGTGGAAGGAAGATAAAGGTGTTTTTAGGACTGTAATAAATGGTTTCTTCATCATACTTAATATTATAAATGCGAAAGTTTGTCAGATTGTGTATTTGTATGTACATATATTTGTCGTAGAGTTTTATGTTTGACATAGATACAAGTATCTATTAATAAATAATTTACAGAACACGACGAAACGAGACAAAGCCACAATTAGGTGTATATGACTAGTTTTATTTAGGCATTCGATTAATCAAATAATTATTCGCTCATTAATGCTTTGAACCATTATACATTTACGTGTCACTTCTAAAAACTTTAGTACCTATTGTAGAAAATCCCAAGTAACTTTTTAAAATTATGTCTGTAATCTGAGGTCTTTAGTACGAGTTTGTTTTACGAGACCGCGTTGGGCGCTCTGATTAGTTCGTTCATGGGAGCCGGCCAATCAGAGCGTCGAACACGGTCTCATTTCAATTTCTTTAAACGTAAATTAAACTCGTACTAAGCCTTCTGTATGGGAAGGAAGTATAAGAAATACAGATTCGTAGTCGAGGGCAACATGTGGTTTGTGCCCAAGAGATAAAGGTATGAACTACTGAACGTATCGTAAAGCACACTATTGGAACAAGTATTTATTATTAGTACCTATTAGTTTAACATTTTGTATGCCGCCGGCATATGAGACACAATAGAAAACGAGTTGTGTCTCGCGTAGATCCGCATTCTGTCTTACCACGGGTCAAAGGTCCATTTGTTTACGGTCACTAATTACCCTAATTACCCTTCGACCAATCTATTCACAGGCCCATCTATCTACAGATGGACCTAAAATCACGACTAGCATCAATTATTGTGTTAAGCACAATAGAATGCAGCACATCATACATTGAATAGGTCTGTGTAAGATATGGGCCATCGTGCGAACCGAGGTCGTCCGCACAATTGGCTACTTGAACGTTTCGTGATATAAATATGTTTTAAAATATGCGAAATTTCTTGTTACACATCATTGTCGTTATTTCATAAAATGCATTATATTAACCCTGGTGTGGTCGCGTGGACTACATATGTAATCCACCTATAGAAAATTGATCATTTCCAACAAACGATTAGCTCTAACTTGTGGCGCCTCCAGGTACTTTCAAATGAATAATTGTATAGGTAGCGTCATCCTCGCTAATTATACTAGTAGTAGGCACTAATCTGGGCACGCTGTCACAATATTTAAAGATGAACACATTCATAAAAAAAATATTTATACTCTATGGTCATCTCACTGGCAACATCATTGTACTTCTTTGTGCACGACCTGTAACGTCGTACCCTGGAAAATTTTTCAATTTAATTTGGTGATTTTCCTACTAAATGGGTCGAAAACGTCGCAAGCAGATAGGAAAACTGATGGAGTGTATGCAGGAATTGGATAATTGGGCGAAACCGGCGAGAGGACGCATTCGTTGTCGTCAGTTTGGTAAGTTTTTTCTTGTAGGTACTTACACCACATTGTGGGGCGTTTTCCAATAGCTTCCACAAGCGGATAGCCTTGAGAATGATTGTGTACGCAACATACACACTTGAAACGTACCATAAGAGCCCTCAGGAGAGGTGAGCCATTGGTTATACGTTTTCTATATACCTAGATTAAACCACAAGAGCCTTCACGAGAGGTCGGCCGTTGGTTACACGTTTACTATAGATCGAAACCACAAGAGCCTTCACGAGAGGTTGGCCGTTGGTTACATGTTTACTATAGATCGAACCACAAGAGCCTTCACGAGAGGTTGGCCGTTGGTTACATGTTTACTGTAGATCGAACCACAAGAGCCTTCACGAGAGGTTGGCCGTTGGTAACTCTACTATAGAATTAACCACAAGAGCTTTCACGAGAGGTTAGCCATTGGTTTACTTGACTTTGGAACGAACCACAAGAGCTTTCACGAGAGGTCAGCCGTTGGTTACTTGACTTTGAAGCAAACCACAAGAGCTTTCACGAGAGGTTAGCCACGGGTTTAAGTCACATTTAGTCAAACATTTCCAACTGCAATCCTAGAGCTTTCACGAGAGGTTAGCCGTGGATCATTTAAACTACCTTGCAGTTAGAAACTTAAAATCAGTTCGCTTTGCCTCAGAAGAACATGAAGCCATTCCAGTTGAAGCCGCTCACCATGGCATGGCACCGAAGCCAATCAACATGAGTTGGAAACTACTCCTATAGTCTCGCTCCAGTCAGTAAATATACTCCGGAGCAATTGCTACCTATGCTTATGGGAAATGGGACATTTCCTTAGCCAGCTATTCCATAGTGTTGCATGTTGGACAAAGCCATTCTTATCAAATGATTACACTTATTTTCCCTTTTCATAATTATTATAACCTAATTCCTCCCAATGTCTCAAATAAATGAGGAGGGGAGGAGGTGCCACTAAATAAAGATGGGATTGAGTGAGACGATAGGATTGTGAATATCAAATGACTCTAGGAGCAGTTACTGTTCGCAAATTAATTAACAAACCTATTAAAGATTTTAAGGATACAGCCAGACTGCTCTGTAAATTATTAACATGTGCCCCTGAATGAAGATCAGAACACAAATAGGTGTTCTAGCTATATATACAGTAATAAATAGTGCTTCAAGACAAGTTTATTGCAAGTAAAGCTATCAGAGAGTCTAAACTTGAATTGGAGAACATCCAAGAAAACCTTTTAGACTACCAACTTCATGCCAACCACATCAACAAACACTGTGTGATGTACAAACAACAAGTGTGTGTGTGTGTGTGTGTGTGAGCAAAAACCAAAACTAAAGCGAACACATGATTACAAGAAAATCAACAAGGCCGATGCATCCTCTACAGAATTTCTAATTCTACCCACAGCACTGAGGTCCGGATCATCGCTAGTACAGGTAGATCACATTACCTTTCTGAACAATAGAGTTCTGCTTTAGGTTTCCCAACCATACTTAGTTGGATTAATAGGTATAAATTACCATCACTGATATTCCTGTTCAGACAAATATACCACAAAATACCCACATAGGTGTAAAAGCAAAATAATTTTACTTCTGAAGGAAAATTGTTAAAGCTAAGGTGCTGTACTGTACCATATATGTAGATAACTGACTAAGTGATTACTTGCCAGTTTATCTTCACATTCCAGAACAAATGGTCCTTCAGGCAATTAAATAATTAAGGACTATAATAAATTATGTTACTATTAATATAAACAATGGATCTAGAACCATTTCTAAAACTCCTCATATGTTGAAGTGTCTTCAGATGCATGATCAACTTAAGAATGCATTTTATTTAATATCAGTGAAGGAAAATGGTGAATGACAAACATTTGCGGTTCTTATTTGTCTTCCCAAAGAGTAACCTTATACATTGTATAGTATTGATTACACGAAATTATGTTGATGATATTCCTTAATTTTGCAGAACATAAGAAATGTCTAGACTATATTACTAATACAGAACCTTACAGAAGTATTCTTGTAAACTTGGTATAGTATTAAATATTATTTATACTGAAAAGGGTGATTCTTTCAGTATATAGGATTAATTTCTTACTCTAGACAACTCTATATAAGTGCCACTTAAAAAGGTGGATTTTATTACAAGTATAATGAAAATTGTATGACCTAAACAAAAAGTTGCAGATTTTTGATTCCGTTCAACTTTAAAGTTAACATTGTTTGCTCGCCCAGCTATGGAATTTGGCTGGCTCCATGTTAAAATTAGGTTAATAATTGAAATTGTAAGGCCAATATAATAACTATTAAGCGAATACGCACAACAAAATATTCACTGTAAACAATATTTACGTTTGTTTGACATGTTGACATTAAAACATCAGATGTCAAATACGTTCTGTTTTACCAAAAAGAACTTGAACACTTGTTATTTAAGTTAATCTAGAATAAATGTTTACACCTTAAAAGAAAATAAGGCCGGTAAAGAAATACCTAAATAAACTCAGATGTCCCATTCGCACGAGTTTAAATCAAAGTTTGCCTCCAAAACCACTTGGTGTATCACGCCAAAGATCTATAGGCAAACAAGTATAAGAGACTGAAATATATGTATCAT